CCCCGTTCTCTCCCCCCATGCCGTGCCACTCGTGTTGGGTGGAGGCAGTGAAAAGTGTGTGGGGGCTGGGGGGAGAGGAATCCCTTGCCCTATGCGCCTCAGGGCTAATGGGGGATGGAGGGTCGGGGCCCTGGGAGTTTCTGTGCTCCCTGCTTCCCTCTAGCTTCTGAGACTAAATTACATTTTAGGAAGCTGTATCATAAATAGGAACCAACCAATGGTCTGGTAGCATTAAAGACTAACAAAACATGGAGCTGGGATCATGAGCTTTCGTGGGCACATCCCCAGGATATGTTCCTCAGGGCTAATGGGGGATGGAGGGTCGGGGCCCTGGGAGTTTCTGTGCTCCCTGCTTCCCTCTAGCTTCTGAGACTAAATTACATTTTAGGAAGCTGTATCATAAATAGGAACCAACCAATGGTCTGGTAGCATTAAAGACTAACAAAACATGGAGCTGGGATCATGAGCTTTCGTGGGCACATCCCCAGGATATGTTTTCCAGTATGCAAGAGCGGCCTGAGGTGGAACACGCGATCAGCGCCTCCACCTGCAGGGCCATCAATGGACTGATGTCATCGGCAGGCGCCCCGGGCGCCCCCATGACATCATCATGGGGCGCCCCGGGCAGCGGTGCCCTAGGCGGCGGCTGAGTCTGCCTATAGCCACGGGCCGCCCCTGCACATCCCACTTCTTCAGATGACCCTGGGGCCCATAAGTCATGCTCCTGCTTTGTCATCTGAAGAAGTGGGCTGTGCTCAGGAAAGCTCATGATACCATCTATATGTTTTGTTAGTGTTTAAAGCGCTACCAGACTATTTGTTGCTTTTTAAGTTTATCCTGTATGAAGCTCATAAATAGGAAATGACGGCAAGTTTTTGTTGGTTGGTTTAAATCCTTTGTGATGGGTTGATGCTAGAAGGCTGCCTATCCTTCAGTAACCATTACTTTTCTATATAACACTTCTCACTCTATGGCTGTGTCCACACTGGTGGGTTCTTGTGCAGGAACCTGTCCACACTGCCATGTGCTTTTGCGTTAGAACATCCATGGCAGTGTGGACGCTCTCTTGAGCAAGAAAGCTCTGATGGCCATTTTAACCATAGGGCTTTCTTGCGCAAGAAACTCCTGCTGCGCATCCACACTGCCCTTTGTGCTAGAGCTCTTGCGCAAGAGAGCTTACGCTTCTTAGAAAAGAGTGCAACTCTTGTGCAAGAAGTTCTCTTTTACCACGCTTTACTGTAAAACGTCTTGCGCAAGAGCAGGCGGGCAGAGTGAACGTTCTGTGCAAGAAGAGCCATTCTTGCGCAAGAACTCGCCAGTGTAGACATAGCCATATATAAGTCCAGCTTTGTGGGTGCAGAATAAACAATTAAAATCTTGTTGTAAAACATATACCAACCGTGACACCTTCTGCGTATG